AGAGGGATGTGTGGGTTAGGGAGCTGTGTGGAGGAGAGGGGGTATGTCAGTAAGAAGTCTGTGTGGAGGACAAGGAGTATGTGGGGGGAGATCTATGTTAGGGAGAGGTCTACATGGGGTGTATGGGTAAGAGGTCTGTTTGGGGGAGAGGTCTGCATGGATGAGAGGAGGTGTATGGGTAAGAGACCTATGTAGGTAAGAGTTCTGTGTGGGGGAGAGGTCTGTGTATGTAAGAGTTCTATGTGGGGGAGAGGGGGTGTGTGGGGAAGAGGTCTGTGTGAGGGAGAGGTCTATATGGGCCTTATTTGTCAGTTTTCTAGGAAGTCACTTTCACTGTTGCTGTCACAGAGATTAAGCCACATATAAGCAGAAATGACAAGACAGTAGAAATAAACAGAAGATGATTACAGGGACATGCGGCTGCTTATCTGGTTTGAGTAAACAAAGACAAACCTCCTGCTTCCAAGAACGGCCTTCAGGTTGCAAGTCACCTCGGGTGAAAATATCAGTCCCGGTTTCCTCTTTCAGCACCTCTCTGATGTCCTCCTCCAGTAGGGCCAGGGGCTGGGGCTGGAGCCAATCAGAAAGAGCGAAAGATGACCATAAAGAAGCAGTTGAAGAGGAGGATTATGGCAGGACAAAGTGCAGGAACATGATCAACACACAGAGCAGGTGAGAAGCACATGGGGAACAGGAGGGAACCACACAGAACAAACCACAGATGCTGCATGTAACAGCAGGGGGAAGAGAACTGAGAATCTTCTAGATTTAGGGCTTTGATTTACAGCTACGTACCACCATCTTCAGGGGCCCATACAGCTTCTCTTGGGCTGCCATTGCATTTTTGAAGGGTGTTGGAGTTCGTGGGGTGGGACCCAAAATGGATTTTCTTATTTTTGGGGTCCTGAAACTAAACATGGGAAGAAGTCAGTGAAACAAAGGGTGAAGCATTTGGCACAAAGACTTCTGTGGAAGTGCCAGAGAACCATCCTAACCCAGCGTTCTCCTTCTGATGTTTGGGGGTCATCTCCTTCTGCATGGGGGTGTTTAGCAGACATTTCTGCCCACAGACCGGCGTTGATGTCAGGGCTGGGTTGTCCAGCTCGTTCCCAGATATGTTGAAAAACTGGTGAAACATGTCAGAATATGCAGATTACAGATGTTATTCCATCCTGGAAGCACAGACAACACAAGGAGAACATGCAAAGCCCCAAACCTACAAGTATAAGGTGACAATGCCACACACTCAACCATCTTAGATCTTAAGCTATTATTCAGACAAATCACACAAAAGTACAGGGATGAGATGAATCAGGCTCCTGTAAAGAATGGGGATACCTGGGAGGGGGAAAAAGGCAGCACTTTCACTGGCGTGTTCCTGGGAGAGGTGGCACTGGGCTCCAAGAATGAAGCGCAGATGCTTTGGTTGGATGGAGAGTCATCACCCCTGTTGTGCTTCTTCTTGCGTAGGATAGAGGGAGGTGTGCTGAACTTAGGAGAGGAGAGGCCAGAGACCCTGAGCTGCACAGGGCTGGAGCAGCTCTTGCTGAGGTCTGGGATGGAAATGGAAGTTCCAAAACGGTACTCTGTCCCATCAGGGGTTCTGTCCTGTGGCCTGGGGAATGACAGCGATGGCTGCTGCTGCTTCTCTGGGGAGGCAATGTCTGCCAGGCTGAAACTGGCCACGTCGCTCCAAGCCACTGGATCCTAGAGCAACAAGCACAGTCACAATGGGTCCTCAGGCAAAAAAAGAAGGGAGGAAGGGAAGGAGGGGAAGGATGGAACAGAGGGAGGGTGGAAGGAAGGGAGTAAAGATGGGAAAGGAATGAGAAAGGAAGGAAGGGAAGAAGGGAAGATGAGAGACAAGGAAACCAAGGAACGGAGGAAGGAAGCAAAGAAGGAAATGAGCAAGGAAGGAAGAAAGGGATGAGGGGAGCGAAGCAGCGAGGAAAGAAGAGTGGGAGAGTGGAACAGAGGAAGGAAGGAAGGAAGGAAGCAGGTGAAAGGAGGGAGGAGAGAGAAGGATAGAAAGGAAGGAACAGAGGAAGGGAGGGACTAAAAGAAGGAAGGGAGGGATGAAAGACAGAAGGATGGAAGGGAAGAGGGGAGGAAGGAGAAGTTCCTCACTGAGTCAATGAGCTCCAGGGTCTCAGCGAACTCTGGGATAGTCTGCAGGGAGGACAGAACAGCACTGGCTTCCACCGACAGGAACTTGCTGGGTGAAGGGTGGCCAGCGACCGTGGGGCCCTGGATGTCCTCAGCCCGGCAGAGCTCCACACTCTGGTCATCCAAGCTGCCCAGGGTGCTCATGGTGTCGTCTGTCACGCTGTCTGACCAACCGCAGTACCGCTTGGGGTTCTATGGACATAGATACAGGAGGCTGTTTGTGAGGGAACAGGGGGGGCAAGCAATTTCAGGGCTGTGGGCAGGAAGGACGGCATCTGTGCTGGAGGCCAAGAAACCTAGAAACAAGTGCGGATGGCGCCAGGTGGCAGGATGGACGTGGAACTGGGGGATGACTCTACAACCAGCAACCTACCACAGCTGGAGTAGAACAGCTCCAGCCTAGAGGTCCATCCGTACCTCCTTAATCGTTTTCCTACATTGACGTCCATCCAGAGATAAGAAAAGGAGGCAAACCTGAAGAATCATCGGCAAACCTTTCGGGTGTCTAGGCTGATGCACAAAGTAACCGGGAGTTGACCCATGCCAGTGTGCAGACAGCCTGAGCCATGGGAGCCACACACACGCCGTGCACTAAGGCTACTGATGCTACGCGGGTGGGGCAGTTAGTGACGGCCAGCCAGCGAGTGCAGGCAAGCTCTGATGGGTGGGGCTACTGGGTGGGGCTACCAAGCGGAGCGGGCCGGTATGAATGGGTCAGAGGGGAGGGCGGGACTACAGCGCACTACGCACACACAGCGTGTTCTTACGCATGGGGCCGACCGTCTTCCCACTTCATTCTCAGCTGACATAAGCAGCAGCTCGAGCTCTTTAATGCGCTGCTCTTTATCAGGGTCCTCGGGGCGTCGCGGCTGCTGGAACAAACACGTGGGGGGGCAGGGTGGGCCCAAGGCCGGGGTGCGGAGGAAGGGAGAGACACCCAATTTACTGACATGTGCTTCAAACAGGCCCTCCGCTCAATTCCAGCTGTCAACGGTGCAACGTAGAATCAACACATAAAACATGACTGGGTGAGATTGTTAAACTGGTTTCGCTGGAACCACAAATCTCATGGCATCAATGCAAACTGGAGTCAAAGCCAAAGATGCTCAGTAGATGACAATCATCAGGAGGGAATTTTAATGCAGAAAGGAAAAGAGGACCGTCATGAAACATCTAGATGCGGTGGAGGACAAAGCCAAGCTCACAGAGACCAAAACAGAAGCAGAGAGCTCGTAGAGGACAAACAGAGAGCAGAAGGAACTCACCGGAACAAAGATGGAACCATCTGAGACAGCGTCCACACACTGCCGGTCCACTGACCTGAAGGGGTACCCCGAGAGCTTAGACAAAACAAAGAGGAGAACACATAAGAGGAGGAGATGCAGAGTCAGTCCTCTGGACAAAAAACATAGGAGAGCACACAGGAGACACAGAGTCTATCCCCCGGATGAAACACATAGGAGATCACACAAGAAGAGGAGATGCAGAGTCAGTCCTCTGGACAAAACACAGGAGAACACACATAAGGAGGAGATGCCAAGTCAATCCCCTGGACAAAACACAGGAGATTACACAGGAAGAGGTGATACAGAGTCTATCCCCTGGACAAAACACACAGGAGAGCAAGCAGGAAGAGGTGATGTCAAGTCAGTTCTTTTGGCTCTAAACCCAGATTATGAAAGTTTTTTTAGTAGAAAGCTGGGAATCTGGTTCAGCACTGAGTGTTTCCAAGTTCTTACGCAGACAGAATCATCACCTGTGCAGGGATGGCCATGACCAACTGGTTCTGCGCGTGGAGGATCTCCATGGAGGAGCAGGACTTGGGCCGTCTGCGGGCCACCTGTTTGGACTTGTAGGAAATCAAGCCATCCTGTAAGTAACCTTCATGCTCCACCTTCCGGCGCATAGTGGAGTTCCAGTGGTTCTTAATGGAGTTGTCGGTCCTGCCACAGACACAGAGGAAGCGCACATTCAGCAGATGAACCATCCTCAACAGTCTTTCCAACAGGGCAAAGAACGCACCGGGAAGCCCTCATCCAGCAACCACACTGTACCTGCCAGGCAGCAGCTTGGAGATCTCCGCCCAGCGGTTGCCCAGGCGCTTGTGGGCCTCGTAGATGATGCGGTCCTCCTCCTCGGTCCAGGAGGACTTCTTGACCTCGGGGTTGAGGTGGTTGTGCCAACGCTCACGGCACTGCTTGCCAATGCGGCCCTGCAGGTGCTTGGCGATCACAGACCAGCGCTTAGGGCCATACTTGTGCACGAGCTCGATCACCTGCGTGCAGCAGGAGGAGCGGCGTTACTGTGCTGCTCAGGCAGGCCTCGGGGACAAACAGGGGGCACCGCCTCACTCAACCAACATGAATGATTTGTTTTCTCAGCAGTGACCAAACCTCATTTAGTTATATGCAAATTGGTCGGCGTAGGGGACAGAAAGCTAGCAGGGAGCCTCTAGATCATAACTGTCATTATTACAAAGCAAGACGAATGGAATCCACCCACAGATAAGATGCTGTGAGCTCAGACATTTGCCATTCTCAAGATTCCTGGCGCCAGTATGTAACCCGTGTGGGAAGAATGCATTGTTCACATGATGCCAGTGGAGACGCCATGCCCCCTGGGGGCAGGGTGGCATACTGACAGCAGGCAAGGAGCCCACAGAGACAAATACACATCGCCACCTCCAAGTTGTGTTCATGTGCTTAGGTTTCCACTACACATTCACTGAGAGTAAATTTCAGAGCCACCAGCACTTGTTCAGATTGTTCATAGTTAGTAATGCCTAAGTGAAAAATGTTTGTATTATTATCATAAACAATATTTATTCCACTTCCTGCCATCTCTACCCCATAAAAAGTGAGACATCAACAGAGGTCACCCCCAAGAAACCTAAGAGCAGTATTGATGTTCTGAAGGGTGTGGACCTTCCCCCGGATCCCCTTACCCTCTGATCCTCCTCTTTTGTCCACGGTCCTTTCACCAGCTCTGGGTTGAGCACCTTCTGCCAGCGGTGCTGACACTGGCCATCTGTTCTTTTCTGTCACCCCATGCGCACGCGCATGCACACACACACGCGCACATATACATACACACGCACACACACAGACACGCACAAAGAGAAGCCCCATGTGAAGAGCTGCAGCTGGTCCGCAAGCGTGATCACCTCTCTTGTTAACACAGCTCTGGCAGAAGGTGGACAGAGGCCCACTAGGGACACTCATTCACTGCTCAATGAAAGGTACAAAGGTTTCTGAGCGATTCTAACACTCTAGTCACGCACACGGGCACCTAGGCTATGATCCCCACTACTAACGGAATATTTGCAGAAAGACGAAACCACAGGACACCCTCTTCAAACAGTTTGCTAATTCTAAACATTATCAACTGCATTAATAGGCAACTGAGCAAGCAAACAAATCAGTACCCAGCACCTTTTCAGCACATTGTGTTAAAGGGGAGTATGATACTTACCGGAAAGTAACTAGCAATAAGTTTCCAAGCGTTGGTTCCATGTTGCTCGACCAGCCCCTTCAGCTTCTCGTCCTGGACACAGAGCAGAAAAAACAGGCCATCAGACCTGGCTTCCTAAAAAAAATTACTTGAACGACTGAGCTCGAGAATCCTTCATATACAGATACTGCATCTAGCCTAGTTTTTAGAAGAATACCGGCATGAAATTCTGCTCTTAAACAAACATTCAGGCATAAAAAGACACACACACACACACACACACACACAAGGGACATACCTCATCCCGGGACCACTTGACTTTGCATAAGAGCTTTTTAGAGCTTTGGAGGTCCCTGTTGTCAGGGTCTGTGGACAGAATGTCCTCATCTTCATCCTCACTGTTGAAAGAGTCAAAAGGAGGCGAAGTATTTATCTGAGGTACCCAAATTACTCTGTCTATCACTAAAGATTACACTCCAGTCACACAAAGACCATGTCCAAAGATACCAATATGCATATCAGCCAGTATTTTTATTTTAATATATCTTCAAACTGCTGCAGAGTAAAATAGTTGTGTCCAAACAATGGTATGGCCACTCAAGATCAGGCATTTTAGAATAAACATGTTTTACAGCATAGGAGAGCAACTTTATTTTTTTGATCCATTCAGCAAAAATACCCAGAAGAAACCAATTAACTGGAAAGCTACATCACAAATGTTCACCCAGTGTCACACAGATAAAACATGTCCTGTTTCAAAGGGCTTGCAAAGGAAATCACCAAACCTAAACAGGACATTCCAAGTCCTGATTATAGGAGCCATATTTAGCTTAACCACATTTAGAGAAACGTCTTTCTGCCTTATTGCACCTGCAGACAAGCTGATTTTGTGTCCACACAGCTCTATTACTGCACCAAGCGATTTACATGCTAAACAGATTGCAACTGCTGCACACTGGAGACTGTGGATGTTAAAAGTAAAACACACGGCGCTGTTTTTGCCACTGTTCCAGGCCCATTACATGCCTAAGTAAACCGGGCCACTTGTAAACCAACAGATCCTGAGAAAGCTTTGTTGCCAGGCAACAATTCCCCTCTGCACAGTGCCAGGCTAATCTATTTTAACAGGGTGGAGAGCAAAAGAAAGGATCTGCCCAGAAGTGCCACCGTGAACACGCAGCCCTCTGCATCGCTAACGCAAATGTGCAAAGAAAATCAGTGCAGCTCGCTGCACACAGCTGTGGGTGTTACCAAGAGGTCCAAGGAGATGTGGGGTGGAAGAAAACCCCGGATTACCTCACAGAGCATTTGGGACGTAAACTGTGAGTTTAGCTCCTGCATGAAGCAGACATGCACCACTGTTTTGTCAAATGAGGGATGAACACAGTGAGCACACTGAATATGCCCCACTGCCTAAACCCAAAACAAGCAGCAAAGATGAAAGACCTCCAGCAGCTTTTGGGTATTTTTGGCATCTGATGAAAGAGTCGCTTCAGCACTTAGATACACAGCGCTGACTGGACTGCAGGATAAACCCGCTCAATAGAGCTGAGTGTCTGTGTGTGTACTTCTGTGTGTGTACGTGGATGGGGGGCCCCTCAGATACCTATAAATATGCAGATTAGTCCAAGCAAACAAGCTGAGGTGCGGTGGATTGAAGGGCTGGAGGTAAGCAAGCTGGGGTCATTGCAGGGTCAGTGACAGAGAAAGCCACTACTGGCACATTTATAGCTAAAAACTACTAACTGCTGTCACCCAGATGGCTGAAAGGCCTACTGAAGATGCTGGCAATAAATACCCTATTAAAAAAGAAAAACCAGGAAAAATACAGCGACATCAAGAATGAGTGCTGATACACATTGCTTTTAAAACTGTCCTGGTGTAAGCCTAGTTAAATTCTCCTCCATGACTATATTTTTGTTGACAAGATGTGCACAATATATTTCAAATTAGCAGTTTGTCCTCAGTTTAATTTTGAACTCCCCCCCCCCATCTGACCTAATGACTAAAATTCCAGCTTCTGCTTTCTGCTTCTGCCTACTTCCTTGGATGTCTCTGTCTTTGCTCCTCCCCAAAGAGCACTGACCATTTCTTCAGGCCACCTAGCGATTTGCCCTCGGCCTGCTAAAATCAAAGCATCAATGGACACCTCTAGCAGCAACACACAATAATGTATCATTATTATCATTGTTATACTCAGAAAAGACTGCGAAAGGTAACTCTGCCTAGCAGCTACATCTGTCATGCTTGAAGGCAAGGTGATATGGGCCTTTGTATATTACACCTTTTGGTCTATCATGTGTAAGTCTGCCAAAGGAGATTCAGTTTAATGAGACTGTAGAAAGACCTCATTTTCAACAATGAACCTTCAGTCTTATTTATCCAAAGAACTAACCCCTATGCCATTAGTTTAGCTCAACCCAGTTTGAATTATGCAAATTTCGTAACAGTCAAATCTACAGTGGTACCTCAGAACTCGAACTTAATCCGTTCAGAACTCCAGATCGAATCCTAAAAAGTTCGAGTTCTGATCGAATTTTCCCCCATAAGAAATAATGGAAAACCAATTAATTGGTTCCCCGCCCAAAAAATTACACCTAAATATGTTTTTTTTGTTATTTTGTTTTTTTGTTTTTTTTAGCATTTAAACACAAAATGAACCGGATAAAACAAGAAGAGCATATACTTTACTAAACACATCTAAGCACATTTATCAAAACAGTAATTTGTAAAGTAAGAAAATAAATGTATCCAAACAATATGTAAAGTTAAAAAAAAACAATGTGTCCTGCCCTGATCGTCCGCTCCTTCCGTGTGCCACGCCCCCTCGTTAATCCCTGTGTGATCAGCTGTTTCTGGTTGTTGTCATGAGTCCTCTGTATTTAGTCCGCGTTTCAGTTTGTTTCCCCAGTCCAGTCATTGTATTGTCCGTCTGCGTTTTGCCTGCCTTACTTGTAATTAAACCCCATATTCCCCGATACCCTGACGTCTGCGCCTTTGTCTCCGTTCTTTCCCCACTCGGCACAACATTATTATTATAATTAAACGTATTAATGGTTTATTATTAGGATTAAAATAATTCATAAGAAATCTTTATTTTTAAATGTATTTCATTATATAATAATTACTGTTACTGTCTATCATTGTCTAAATGTATTTTTACTGTCTAAATACATGTATTCAGCTAGTGTAAACATGCACGATGCTATCACAGCGAATGTGAGGCTGAGACTAAAGCGTTACCCTTTGTTTCCGCTGAGAGACGTGCCACGTGACTCATTTCCCCGCGTATACAAGTTATCTTAGGTCGGCATTCACGGTTTGACTTTTGAGATTCAGATCGAGCTATAGGTAATTTTTTTTCGAACTGGTTGGTTCGACTTTTAAGAAATTCGAGTTCTGAGGTACCACTGTAATTTAAATACACTGGAAAAAGTAGGATGTCACTATGGTGGAAGTTACATGAAACAGGCAATAATATTTTCTTACAGATATACAGTACTGTGCAAAAGTCTTAGGCAGTCCAAAGAAATGTTTAAAGCTGTTTATCTGGGTAGCAAGTGTACTTTGGCTTAGAACAAAAAACACAATTTAACATTAGAACATGTGCAAATTAAGAGTAACACAATAAAAACTAGTAATAATTTCTTCTGTTTTCTAAAAAGTTACTGATATCTAGTTGGATGGCTAGATGAACACCGCTTCAGTTCCCAAACTTCTCCTCAGGGGCACCTCAGCTGTTCCATGATTTTGTTAAATTTCGCCAACAGCTCAATTAAATAATTAAATAAATTGGTTTAAAAAGTCAGTGACAGATTGACTAGGTGTATGAGGTGTGCTAGTGGCCAAGTCAAAAAATACATGGCTGCACTGGACGGTCGCTGCAAATACTGGGGTGAATTTAGCAGAGGTTCTGAAATAGCTAAGCTGACACATTTTGACAGGCATAATATCATAGTTTTACACCAACATGAGGATAATCTAAACATAATTTTCTTTGCCTGCCTAAGACTTTTGCACAGTATTGTAAATGCTGTAATGTGGCACAGACTACAGGAATGTACTTAATCTCTACTGTCCACAATGCTGTTGCTATTTATTGCTATTTATCATTCTCTGCACATCTCATGATGAGTCTGTGCGTCAACATGCAAGTACGAATTTCACTGTACGTATAACAAAAGCTCTGAATTCTTGAATAAAGAACAAAATGAGTAATGACACTGGTATTCTCCCATCCCCATTGATGCCATCCTGTTTAGCTCAGTCCTCTATTGAACTCTACAGAGAATAAACATTTTTGTTAGATTTAAATTATGTTGGCACCTAATAATACTTTTCATTCATAAATATTTAAATGAAAAAAAAAAATCACAAAAAACTGCCAGTTCTCCATAGGGCTGTTCAAAAAAATTCTACTCTAAGCCTCTACAAAGAAATGATTCATGGCTTTAAAAAAGCTAACATTCTTTAACTATTACCTAATTTAATGGCAAGAAATACTTAAGATATATGAGAATGAAATGCTTGTATATGCTGCTTACACATCCAAAAAGGGGGAAAATGTATCTAGGCAAAATTCATTACTATTTAGTACTGTATGCATTTTATAATTATTGTTCACTGGTCTGGACTTGCTTCAGGTTCTACTTCCAGGAGGTGTGATGTTCTTTTTGAAGGAGATGCTGTCAAAAGCTGACAAACATCCAGGCTTCGTTACTCTGCATTATGAATGAAGAATAATGTGTAATTAAAGATAAAGTTCACTGCCCCCCAAAAGGAAAGTGGGACAATGCGATGTGGCATTAGTATGGGTGGGGGTACAGCTGAGTAATACAGCTCCCCCCCCCCACTCCTGGAGCTCCCATTCAGCATCTATTTGTCTGATGCAACATGCTGCATGCTTATTGACACCCATTCCATCAACAGAGGGCGACACCAACTTTTAGTGCCCTTTGGGGCACCGATGGCACTGGCAGGTGACATCATGATTACAATTTCAGAAAACAGAGGGGCAACAAGACCAATCAGCTTTGAGTTAAACTAATGAGGCGAGAATTTAAATGAGAATACAGTAATTTCACCCTCATTTTCTTATGTACTATCAGTAACAAATGAAGAAACTGTACCCCCCAACTGTTCATTAAACATTCCACAGAAATAAGAAACAACTATTTTTTAAACTATGGTTGTAGTCCACAACTTACAATATTTATATTTAAATTATTTTCACAGCTTTAATTAACAGGTACTTCTTGGTAAAATGTAAGAATTAAAGATCAGTGCCTATTCATTTATTATTCACTGTCAATGGAGATGATATTAAAAGTTAACTTGTTAAGCACTATGGAGGAACAGTGCACTATAAAGAGCAAAGTCACCTCACACCTCTGCTCAGTATGTGCACATGTGTCTGGTGCTTTCATGATCCCCCTCTGGTTTCTTTCTGCAATCCAAAATCATGGTGTTAAGTGAACGAGCCCACAGTGTTTGAGCGTAAGCTCTGCAGTAGACTGGCATCCTGTCTGTCTTGTGGCCTGCCTGGGCTACATGGGATAAGCACTCCTTTGCTGTGGGAACAGCCTGATTGCCTTTACCTGCGTTATATATAAATAATATTCATGTATGTACTAGATCATACCAATGTTGTTGTGTTATGTTGAAGCATGAGCCCTTCATGAAATAAAGAGCCGGTCAGAGACCTAATTTACCCACAATTCACGTGTTAATCGCAGTGACACATACTTTTCAGAATGACATAAATTCTAGATATAATCTTTAATTATTATATTATTAAATATTATATGGAGCAAAATGCATTAATAAGTGAGCCATTGGACCTTAACTACCAACATTACTTTAAATAAAACTATTTAAATAATAGTGCAATAATACAGAAAAACTGACATTCTGATTAATAGCTAAAATCTTTAAAATAGTATAGCAACTTTGAAAAGTAAAATATGATGAGAAATAGTGTAAAATCTTTCAGCAATTTCTCACAACCAGCTATCAGTGACTTACAAAGTGCTCTTTACATCTACAAGTATAACTTGACAGTCAGATGGTGGACAAGTGGATGATCTCCGCCCATTTATTTAACATGTTCTGTGGGCTGTGAATATGGATCAATGAGCAATATGAAGGTGAGTGAAGGCAGATTCATGTCAATCAGTTGTAATGTGAATATGGAGGGATCAGGATTCATGCAGAACAATGTAAACTCATGTGAATTTGAGTTAATATGGATTCATACGGATGAGTCAAAATTAATGTGAATGTGTATTAATGAAGATCAGTGAAAATTACTGTGAATATGTATTAATGAGGATCACTGAAGATGAATAATGTGTATTAATGTGGATCAGTGTAGACGAATATGAATGTGGATTAGTATGGACTAAGGTAAATGTGTATTGATGGCGATCAATGTAAACTGGTGTGTGTATTAATGTGAGTCAGAATAAACTAATGTGAACGTATATTAATGTAGATCAGTGTAAACAAATGTGAATGTGTATTAATGTGGGTCATTGTAAACTGGCGTTAAGGCGAGTGAAAGCGAATGGACAGCCACACGTACAGTGACAGTCCGCACACGCCCACCTCGGGCACACAGCACCGCGCCCGTTTCTGCTGCTTTCTGCCTGCGGGCGACCGATCCTGTAACTGCACAGTAAGCAGTACTGGTCCAGGAAAGCGGGTTAGCGGAACCTGGCCCATACCGGGTGCCCGGTGTCTGAAAACTTACCTGCGGGACCTCCTGCGCTGGGCGCCACTGACGTTGCTGGCCATGCTGGCCTCACCGCAGGATCACTGTAACTTCGCTGTAAGCTCACTGTAAGTTCACTGTCACCTCTTCGCTGATCCACAGACAGACAGTGTCAGTTCCGAGTTCGAGTTGGCTAGGCGTGTCCTCAGATCGCGGGCAGTTGTCCGGAGCCGTGTATCAGGTCTCCTTGTCACCGGCAACCATCAAGGTGTCTTACATTGACAGTTACGGAACCTGCGCCGGTCTCGGAGCAAAGGCTCCGCCCGGCGAAGCGCTCATGTTGGTGCCAGGTGTCCGTGTCCCGCTTACTGTCTCCCTGTATGTCGATACTGGAAGGTCCAGGTCCGTGTCCCGCACCGTGTCAGCGTCAGCCCCGTATTCTTGCGGCGGAGCTCCCTTTCCTTGTCCCGGCAGAGGAGCTCCTTTTCCGTGTCCGTGTCCCGCTCCTTCTCTGTCCGCTTATCGCCGCTTCACATTTTTGTGCGTCCCGCCGATTCTCGCGCGCAGCCTCCGTCTACAACGGTGTTTGAATCTGCGCACGCGGCCTCTCACCTGATTGGCCGGCAGCGGGGCAGCGCTCGCGTGACGGCGCCCTTGTTATGGTGAAATGACGGACTAGATCAGCCCCCCGGAAGGGCTAATGCCGCGTTATAAGCAACTAGCAACTGCGTTTTGGGACATAACAGTTAGTGTGAAGGAAGAAAAATCCCCTGTCAGGGAGCTGTCAGGGCCGGCGTTCTGCTGCCCTCTGCTGACTATAAATGAATATTGCCCCGGTTGGAGGCGACGACGGCTGTAAAATCACCTTATTTCATTTGATATGCTCTGGTAAGAGGATAAATTAAAAAAAAAAACATTTTTCATAAGAACTACATGACAAACAGTAGTGTTAAGGAATTACTTTATTGCAGAGGTTGAAAAGTGATGCATGCAGACAGCAAAAACTGAGCCTCGTTAACTTTATTTCATTAGCAAACAAAATAACAAAAAAAAAATCAACTTTCTGTACAGATAAATGTATAGTACAATATATACTATTATAATACACCAGCTTACAATACATAGATTTCATACAGCAGTCAAAGAAAAACACCTTGTGTTTGTGAAATTAACCAGTGTTGTTCAATTTTCATAAGCATTCCATGTCACATATTGCTGTATGGACTGACAATATTATACAGTATTCTTAGAGCGTAACAATTTTAATTACTAACACAAACCATTTATACACATTCTAACGTCCCACCTTAAAGGTGCTTCATTGTTTGTCTTTGGAGACCTTACCCACAGTACTCCTCTGCTTGTTCTGTTCTATGTCAGTCTCACCATTTATTAATCTGATGCTCTCTGCATGGCAAGAAAAATAACTAGTATCATTTTATGTGACAACAAATGCAATTTGCCAGCTGAGAAAAACAACCACATTTCTCTGACAATCAGAGATTGGTTAAGACTGAGAAAGAGGCCCAGGTGTGAATGTGGAACCTGCGTTCTTATCACCGGATGCGGTGATGCATTCATCTGCCACTCAAAACACTGTCAATTAAAAGAAAGTTCAGAAATGAGGATAAAACATCCAATATCACAACTGGTTCTCAGTTTGTTTAGAGAGCCATAAGACACAAATTAAGGTTCCTATGCTTTTTATATTTCTTTACAGAGAATTGCACTGAATTCTGAGTGTAGTACATCAAACTGCCTATGCACTGATCAGATCACACCGAATGCGTCCCCGCCATTAATGCAGTATATGTAATTCTATCAAATGTAGGTGTAATGAGTACTTTGTCAGGGATTTCCTATTCACATTAGGAGCCACTGTTACTTTCATTACCTTGCTGAATTTGCATGTAGACATGGAACAATGGCAAAGAGCATCGGGGGGGGGGAATAACTTTCTGCAATCTTATTTATCAAACCTATACCCTCCATGGCAGCAGTTTATTTGCACAAAACCTTTTCCTTATTCTGAAGTCTTCATTTCTAAAACATCTCAGTGCATGATGAATCAAAGTGGTTACGGGAAAAGCCTACAGCAATGCAAATGTAAAAAAAAATAAAATAATGAAAGAACACAGCAGGTGAGGGGAAACATCCTGTAAGTCCTCCCACCCCCATGCATCCTTAGCATGGGCCAATAATGTGGAAGGGGGGGGTTTTAAGGGCATGGGGCAGAGGGTGCAGAGAAATGGCGTGCTTGACCCAGGGTCACGCCACTCCCCCGGAAGACAGTGGCTCTACTTGCATCTATCTGCTGGTTGGGGGGGGGGGGGGGGGGGGGCTTGGCTGCAGATGTATTCCTACATTCTGTACATTTACAACCCAACAGTCTGCACAGACCTGAGAGGGGAAGGGACAGGGACACAAATGTCAGTGTCTCCTCCAGCTTCTCCGGTACAGACTGATCATTTCCCTGCATCTCAGTACCTTAAGAAAAGACTTGTTTTACGACTTCATTGTTAAAACGGCTTAGTGGCTGGAGAGATGAGGAAATAAAAGAAGGTACCGGTATGTTGTAAAAAATATTTACGGCTGGACTGAAACATTTTCTATCGACTAATCCAGCCATTACACGGTATGCAAAGGTCCCATTCAAAATGTTCAGACTGCACCGCTGCCAGATTTGTATATAAAGCAGAAATTCGCCGAAGCTGCTGAGAAAACAAACTGTTGGTGTATGACCTTGCCTGCTAAGACAGGAATCACAGCACCACACACAGGAACTTCATTTTAATGGCTAAGATGACAGAGGTGTGCTTTGATTCCACTGTCCATTCAAATTTAACAGGAAAACCGAAGACAGGCTGAATTAGGAGAGTAAAAAACCAAAGCCGATTAGCCGAAAGCGTAAGAGGCGGCAATGAGCCGCGATTAAGCTAGTGATGAAAACTGCAGCGGGGTAACGTCTGTAGTATGGTGACAATAATGGAATAAGAAAATCTCAGCTGGTTTGGGGTTTGTTCAGGGTCAGGCGACGTGTATCACTGCAGCAGCAGATAGCGGCACACGGAGCAAGCTGGGCCCCAGGGGGCGTTGTTCTCATGGTCCACACTGGTAAACCGGACCTCTGCTTGAGACTGTGGAGGGCTGTGAATGAACGCGGCAGAGCACACGCTGGGATCGCCAGCCTGCCTGTCAGCGGCACTGCCGCCGCAGCACTAAGGCAGGCATACTCGTGTGAAGTATGAACCAAATGCAACATCATGCAGTGAAGACAGGGGGCGCTGAACCCAAAGCTGTGATGCGGCCCCAAGGCTGGCCGCGCTGCCCACGTGGACTGAGCACGGCAGGTGTTCCCGCTGCATGCGGGCCTCCCCTCCCAGGCTGCCCCGTCAGGAATGATCCATGGGCTCTGCTGTGCTGCCTGGCTCGGCATCCTGGCTCTCCATCTCCTCCTGCTCCTCCGGAGCCGCGCCCTTTGCCACCACCTCCTTGGCGCCTCCCTCTGCACCGGCCGCACTCACCTCCATGCTGGAGGCCTCCAGGCCACCGGGGGCAGCGCCTTGGGCAGCCGTCTCGGCGCCCCCTGTCCGCTCCTCCTCTGAGTCGCCGTGGCGGAGCATGCTCGGGGCGGGGTCTTTGGGCGGGGCAGACCCGCGGCCCTGCTCCCTCATGTGTCGGTCCATGGAGGCCTGGATGGAGGAGACCATCTCCTGCAGCCGCCGGCGCTGTGCCTCCACCGTGCCTGGGTCCAGATGGCGGCCATCACGCAGGGTGACAAAGCCTGGCGCGGTACGAACCAGCTCGCGGGCCGCATCCTCGGGGAGGGCGGGGGGTGTGCCGGTGCCCAGCTCCACACCAGCGCTGTGCTTGCGGGCTAGCGGTTTGCGCTCTGGCAGGGAGCCCCCGAGTGAGTGGCCCTTGCCCTGAAAGGCGGTTACGCCCCGCAGTGGTTCCTTCTTACGCACCACGCCACCGCTGCCCAGCCGCAAGGCACTGTGGGCGGGGCTCCCCTCGCGACTCCGCGCCGCCGCCGCCTCGGAGCGCAGCTGTGCCAGCGCCTCCTTCACCAGCTCCTCCACGTCGGGGCCCACGGGGAAGTGGCCAGCGGCGTCAACGCACAGCTCCAGCCGCTCCTCTGCTGCATTGAACACGAAGGTCTTGCCGCTGAGATGAGGCAGTGTGCAGTGCTTGCCGTCAACGAGGCCTGCGGGCGAGACAGGAGGGTGGTTACACGTCACACTGCAGGCACAGCACGTGACGTCACCACGTCATGTGATCGGCGTACCCATGTCCTTCTTCATGATGTTGTAGAAGACGCCGCCCTGCTGAAACAAGTGAGGCAGCTTCTTGGCGTAGGACCAGACATCTTCTCCTGTGAAAGACAGGAAGTTAGCACTGGGCTGCTGTCTTTTCACTGCACAAATATTCATAGCTATTGTATTATTACTTTCCCCTATATTCCAATATATCAGAATATCCTATTTGTGTATAGGTAGTCCCCAGGTTACGAGATCCATTCCCCAAGTCTGTCTTTAAGTCAAATTTGTAGGTAAGTCAGAGATGTAACACAGTACATAACAAAAACAATAATAATTATTATACAGTAATAAAGTAACCCTATACAGTATTGTACCTCCAACTGACAAACAACTGAGACCTCTCTTGTTCATGAACGTTGCAAAGTAGCCAGTGCACTTGTTATTACGACCCACTGTATTTAACCTGAATTTGTAATTTAATAGGCTTTTTGGCAGTCTGTTCATAAGTACAAGTTGTATGCAAGTCGGACCATCTTAACCCGGCTACTGCCTGTACTGCGTGGTTGCCCCATGTCTGTGCTGTGTTTACCGTCTTTGCACTTTGTCTGTTTGGCACCACACGCATGTTCGACTGCGCACAATCACTGCTGTATGCATCGGAATTTGCCCCTGGGATCAATAAAGTTCATCTCAACCTTAAACTATGGGGGGGGGGACACTGCAGCCCCTACTTCACTCTCCATTATCGATGTCTGGCTGCACTCCCACTGCTACTCCCATCCCATCTCTGCAATTGCTGTCATTTTTATAATGGAAAATGGAGAGCATCACCACATATCCACATATCCAGAAAGGGGGACCCAGGGGTCTCTGGGCGGAGCTTCAGCCGAGGGTTGGGGGGGGGTTGGGCTGGCTGCAGGGGCGGAGCGCCACAAGCTGGGGGGCGACATGTGCCATAGGGCATATACTCCACTGCCACGGTGATGTCACAGCGGAGACAAGGGGCACATGGAAGTGCCACAGGACGTGTGCAGCGAGTGTGTCCACGCCCCCACTTTGCCCCGTCGGCTCAGACACAATTTTCTGTGGGGTTCACCTGCAGCCTTGCAACACACACACACACACACGCACACACACGCACACACACGCACACACACGCACACACGTACATACAGAGACACACACACACATACATACATACTGTACATACATACAGAGACACACACGCACACATCCTTACAGCAGAGACTTTAAGTTGGAGAGAAGCAGCAGAGCAGCACTTGCTGGGAGAAGGTGACCGACGCTGGTCCCTTATCACTATGGCAACCGCGTGCTGCGGTGCCAACGCGGCAGGGAGGCCAAGGTGAGGGGAAGAGGAGGTGAAAATATGACTCGCCTTGCATAGCAATCATGGAAATGATGGCAGGAAAAAGGCTGGATCATTCCGGCCCCACGGCCAGGCAGCCAGTCCATAGGCTTCCAGTTGTTAAGCTACGCCACACCCAGTCGAACCCATGCACCAATATCACGGTGTGTAGGATGGTGTCCCTTTATGACGGGAGGATCATCTTCCCCTCTCCGCACAGCCATGCTGCATCCCTTCATCACCATTACCCTCAATAATGGTGCCCCTTAAGGCATATGCAGATCAAAATGTGCCTTAATTACAAAAATTTGCAATCAAATAAGGTTCTATAGCTTTCAGTTTCAAAATGACTTCAAAGTGACTTCTCTTTAACAGGATATGCAAGAACAAAGCTTGCAATCACTCATCGACTGCTGGTAATGATTACCCAGATAACTAAGGAGGTCAGGGCTTTAAAATCAGTTGGCTGATGTCAGCTGTAAGTACCCTCAAATGAGAAATCAAGGCAGGGCAGCGTAAACTTTTAAATTTCGAGCAAAGTCCTTCAATACTTTATCCACAGTTACACGGGAGTGAACTCTGAATGATGGTGTTAAAGTTTCAAATTCAGTTTAAAGAGACACACATGAACGCTTAGATTAAAAAGTTACAAATGCACAAACAAACGAGCCAGAATGACACCTGACAGCATCAGTTTGCCGCGTCTTACCCATCAATGTTGCCAGAAGGCAGAGGGAGGACATCTCAAGGTCGATGTTCTCCTGCAGCTCCCGTGATGTCACTCTGCTGGAAGATGCCGGTTCCTCACGGCCGACAGCATGAGTGTCAGCCGCAGGGGCAGCGGGCACCGGGCTGCTCTTCTCCCTGGGATCCTTCAGGGTCTCCACACTCACACGGTCCCCATGCTGCAGGGGCAGTGGCTCCTCCTCCTGGCCCTCCTTGGGTGGGAGGAGCTCCTTTGGCGGGAAGCCGTGGCGGATGCACTGCTGGGCTGGAGGCACGGCAAACTCCTCAGCGATGCTCCTCTGAAGCTCCGAGAAGGTGGTCTCCGCCCTCAGCGTTAGCGTGGCCTGCCGGCCGTCGTCGGTGGTCACACGGATCTTCTTCTCCTTGCTCGATTTTGGGGAGGAGGTGGCTTTGGTGGGCGTGACCGGGGCAGAAGCCGGCCCCTCCTGGGGTGGGCCTGGGGACACAGGACGGACCTGTCCCCTCTGTTCCTGCTTCAGCTGGTCAGTGCGCTTCTTCTGGGCCACCGAGGCGTGCTCCCCGATGCTCTGCTGGAGGCTGCGCTCAGCTCGACTCATAGTCAGCTCCTCCTTGTGTAGCGTTTTCGCTTTCTGCCCCGTCAGGATAATCTTGGTAGGTGGCTGCGCCTCCACCCCGGCTGCTCCCTCAGCCACGTCTGTGAGGCGCTGTGCATGCGCCCCGTCGATGGCCACTGGGTTGTATTCATCAGGGTTCTTCTTGGCAGTGTGATGCAAGATGGTGTGCACCACCTTCTGCACCAGCACCTCACTGCCAAACTCGCCAGGGAAATGCTTGGTCACCAGCTTCATCGCCACGTCGTAAACATTGCTGTTCAGTGCCGGGTCGCTTTCAAACTGGAACCAGTATACTGTCTCCCTCACGACACGACCTCCCCACTCCAGAGTGATGGGGAAGGCTTCGGGAAGGTTGTCATACTCCTTACCGTCCCAGTAATGCTTGAAGCCGCAACCACACTTGCCTCCTTGGGAGCGGGTGTTGGTCCGGTCCCCATCCAGGTACTTAACGGAGCCGTCACCTCGGATGTGACGCACGGCGGTGCCGTGGCACCAGTGGCAGGTGCTGAGCGTGCTCAACTTGTAATCGGGGACCAAGACGTCCCGTTCGGGATCATAGGAGCACACCACGTTGTTGAGTGGGAAGCTGTAGTTCTTGTCGGGCCGGAGCTGCCCGTGCGTGGTCTTTGCCAGGTTATACAGCTTCCCGCCGGGAGAGAGCCACTCGGGAGGGACGAGGAGCTCGGAGAGCGCGTTGCAGATCAGACATCGATGCAGCCGGTTCTCCAAGACTGATCGCTTGGCGGCCTCTGTGACCTCCTCCGGCTGCACCCCGATCACTCCTGTCCTCCTATACACGTACTGGTGCACGTCAGCGACCAGTGAGGGGTGTATGCTGTGCTTCTCCATGAACACCTCCTCCATGGCACCAACCAGCCTCATCAGATACTTGTCCTGCAAACAACGGTCCCCGCCAATAATGCAGCTGCCGTCCTGCTCCAGGGTAATATACTTTCGGATGAGCTCCTGAGGCACACCCCAGGCCTTGGGAAGCAGCCTAGCAGGCAGCCGGGGCAGGGGCGCATTCTTTATGCCAACCAGAGGGATGTAGTGGTTGTGGCCCGAACTGCTCCAGGCGATGCAGATGGGCTTGTTGAATTGGCCATCTTTGGCCTTGCACTGCTCCTCCGGGACCAGGCCTGGGAGAAAGGTGGCAGAGTAATCCCCAGAGCTCCGCATGCCACTCAGGGAGTCCAGCAGGATTATGGGCCGGTGCAGAACGTTAGCCAGGCCAAATATGTGGATGTTGCGCAGCCCCAGGGGGACGCCCTCCGGTGGCGTAAATAAAGGATCGCACTCGTTGATGATGTCTTCCCATTCAGCAGCATCAATAAAGTCATGAAATAGAGCCTTGTACCGGTCCAGGTTTCCCTTGAAATGCTGCTTCAGGTTCTCCCTGAGGGCGTGCCAAAACAGCTCCCTGCCCACCAATGCCCGAGACACAGCATGGACCAAACAATGTCCATCTCCATCCACATGAACAGGAATAAGGCACTCTTTATTATAGTTTGCTTTCTTCACCTCCTCCAAAGTGTCGTGTAAGTAAAGAAGGCTGCCCGATCGGTCTTTGCCATAGCCCACAGTAGAGACATGTTCCTCCTCGATAAGAAAAGCTCTGTCGCCTAGCAGCGAACAGTCGAACATCTCTCCCTGGTTCATCTCCCTCAGCAGTTTGGCTTTGCCTGTCTGCTTATCCATGCCGTAGCGCGTAAGAATGGGAGACAGCAGCTTACAATGGTAGTTGGAGAGCCCCATCACTTTCACTAGCTCCGTCCCCTTCTTGGGGGCTCCCGTGACGCCCAGCAGTGCATTCCTCAGTAAATTGTGAAGCACCACGTCCGGGTCCGTGACTTCCTCCACCTTCAGAAGGTTTCTCTGCTCATGCCGCTGGCCACACTCGGTGCACTCGATGCTGCCGGAGCCGTGAGCAGGAAAGAAGAGTCTCGCTTGGCACTGGGGGTCCGGGCAGGTACCTGACAAAACTCGTTTGTCCTTCTTCTTCGATCCCTGCTGCAATGACATTTCTGCGGATAACGTGTTTCTATACTATTTATTACAAGACCATTATAGGCTTCTCGTCGACTATTCGTCAGTCTTATTTCACCTCACCCAGCTGTTATTCATCACAATTCCAGAACCAAAACAACACGGAAGCGGTTCTTTTTTTTCCATGGACTTTTTCCACTGCCTCTTTTTCAGGACGTAACAGGCGACCTTACTCGCAGAAAAGTATGGGGTTTGTAGTTTTTATGCACCTGACGATGCTCCGTGTGATCAGTATTTGTCTGTATATTAAACTTCATATCCCAGAGACCATCGCTACAACTAATGGAAGCGGTTACATTAAAGGATCACGGGAAAATTAGTTTGGGTTGTCGCATAGCGCTTAGGTTTCAGTTTTAAAGAACTGCAAGTACCACATATCTGAGTGTATCATGGGCAGTTTTGTTTACCTATTTGGTTGCATCAGTCCACCGGAAGATGAAAAAAGAATTTAATATTGTTTGTTTCGAATAATAATCCATATCATACTGAATCTTACTGCTTCTTAGGTAGCTAATCACTTTAGTATTTAATCCTAGGGTAAAATCGCCTTTTGTGCCTGTCGGACGCTAAAAAGCACAAATGTTATTTAAAAACGAGATGTTTTCTCCTATGTAACGGAAGATGGAATATTCTTTGCTAGGGAATTGTTGTAGCTAGTGAAACAAATGTATTTCAACGATAATTTTACGTGAGAGTTATGTGATGTTTTGTTGGTCCATTAATGTTCAGTAATTTGCAGTAAGGGGAACTGTCATAGAGAAGTTTAGACTCAAATGCCATACATTTATCACCAGTGACAGCTGGAGACCCAGGTTTTTTGACGGTGTGTTAAAAGCACAGTAAACGTTAGTAATTAAAGCGTTATTTTCGCGAACCACAAACATAGAATACTACATGCAGTAAATAAACACGCATGTCATGTCCGTAAGCTTTAACACGAAGTAAATTCCGTAAATGGCAGGAAGAGGTGATGTCTCAAAGGTCTACAACGGATGTATAATCCTGTAATTGATGCATAGAGCCCCATTTATGTGATCCTATAACTCTTCTTGGCATCAGCCCTGCTTGTTTACTCCTATTGCTTATTTATTTATTTAGCCCTTTATTCCATCCCATGCTGCTTCTGATTGTAGGTAGACGGTGTAATATTAAATATGTAAAATGTCATGTTGCGTGTTTATGTTATACCCTGGCACACCCACCAAGACAGCCTCCTTGTATGTTGAATAAACTTGGCTAAAAGATCTTTATGGTTCTTAGAATTATGCACAGACTCCATCGTTCGGATCACACGAAGAAGTTTGCTGGACAGCGGAGGTGTTACATGTGTGACTCGGGCGCTAGATGGCGCTGCTCCCCGGCCAGCCCGGCGGCGCGGTGCCGAATGAATGGCTCAGCCAGCCGCTTCCGCCCCCGCCGCTACCTGCAGACGCGCCGCCGGCCGCCACCCCGGGCTGCTGCCTTAATTCCCCACCGCTGTCGGACACGTCAGCGCGGGCAACTGGAGGAGAAGCTGAGGAGAGCAACAGAAGGTAAGATCTCGGTTAGTTAATCACGTTCGGATCTCTTTAACTCAGCTTCTTGGGTAGTTAGTAGATCTAAAGATTTAAACTTTTAAACAGCGCTAATTTGGCTGTTTTCCCCCTTATGATGTGCGTGGATATCTGTTGTTTTAATGCCGTACCTGGATATTTGGTTTCTAATAGTTTATATACATTGGATATATAGGCACATATTGAAACTCCGCTCACTGAATCCATGTGATTTCAAGGAAAGTTTGTGTACCTTCACGTCCCTTTGGAAAGAGTCACCACAACGGTGACTGTGGTTAAAACGTCGGAATAAAAGCGCCTATGCACGGAGAGCATCGAACAAACGGGGCGATTCAGCCGTAATTAAAGCCCCCACATATGTTTGCTTAAGCTTGATTAGGAGGCATGATGACCGATCGCATACGGAGCCGGAATCTCACACCATCGCCGCAGCTTTCGTGTGTGTAAACATGGTTTAAAACCATACGAGATTGCATTTTTGAATTCCGCCTTTATTTCAACACTTTCCATGGCTTCTTTTCTTTATGAACAAAACTAGATTGAGAGTATCGATGTAACAAGACGTGGGGGGAAATGAAGCCGATCGCTGATTGCCTTCGTTCTTAACTGTGTTGTTCTGCCATCCCATCGTAGTATCTGACGCTGGTTTGCTGAGAGCTCTTCTGCTGCTGGGGATTGTTCCACTTCTGGCTCCTTCTTTTTCTTTGACCATACTGACAATCTGAATCATTTGGATATTTTCCCGGATTGAATTTCTGAATGGGGAACTTGACAGCCCAACTGTGGTGGGTGCCTGTTTGTATGTCAGTCCCGGCTCAGCTGGGCTGGTGTGTCTCTAGGGCTGAGACAGAAAGAATGCACTGATTGTGCCCTTGTTCAGCAGTCTGGGCCTGGCAAATGAGGGTTAAGCTTTCGGGAATGACACCGCAGGAAACTGAAGGATCTTGAAATAAAATCTGAAAGTGAAAGTCAATGAAGTGAACACAGGGGATGAGTGGGTTTCCTAAAAGGACAGTGGTTCGGTCGCACTCTTTTAGGCGGCGATTGTTTTACACGCGGATTTCCGATGCACATAGCCAGGATATTTCTGACAGTGTCTTTACGACAGCATGTGGTGCCTTTAGGAAATCAGTACCTCTTAGACATTATTATGTGTGACGAATGCAAGTTGAAATGCAAGTCCAGCAGAACAAGAACCAGTCTAAGAATAAATGTCATGCTGACATTCCATCGTATTTATATTTACATGTATAATCTCCAAACCGCTACGAGGTCACGGTGGAGGACAGCTCCTCAGCTTCTGGTCTGCACGTGCTCTGGGGCCAGCAAATGGGAAGCAACACATAGAAGCCCCAGGGATCCAGGAGAAGCCGGTCGTGCAGGTGTCTCCTGCTGCTGTTGGACCCCGTGTTGTTCCGTGTGTGTCGTGTGTGGCACGCAGTGGTCCCTCACTAACTCCCCCGGCTCTGATTCCACTACACATTGCCGCTGAACATCCCTTCCCCTCCCAGAGTGGAAGTCCGGCATGGCCTTCGTTCCCTTTTCTCACGCCGTGATATCGGTGCATTTCGGCAAGTAGATTCGTTACTTGCACAACAGTTTTGCGACAGTCACATTACATAACCGATTTTGGTATGTTAAATTTTTTTGGTCAGAGCTGGTGAATGAGGTCAGGATGAGTAACAGTTTGCTTTCGTTACAGCGACTATGTTTATGCAAAGTCTTGCTAATGAAGGAAGGTCCTCAGCTCCATAGGTGACCGCAGGTCCTGCCTGTTTTTATTTTCCCAATTTTTTTCTTATAAAGTCTACAGACAAATGGGAGACACATACAGGTAGGTAGAGCTGCCCAGGGGTCCCAGCAAAGGCAGTGAAGTGCCAGCGGCCTGTGTGCCCCCCCCCCCCCCCCCCCCATCGACATGTTGGGCTTGCTGACTGGGTGTGGTGTGTTTGTGTGAGGGGGTGTGTGATCTATGGTTTCATTTGACACTGAAACAAATTCTGCACACTCGCTATAAATACCTCAAAAGATTATGCTGCTGATTATCGCTTTATAATATTGATAAGTTTCCACTCAAGCTCAGATGGCTTTTATTAAGCAGAGTTATCCGACCTGATCCTCTGAGCAGGCGGGCTGTATGGTAAACATGCCCGGTCAGTCCAGCACAGTTTCTCCGTGCATGTGGGTGGCTCAGGGATGAGCCGCCTGTTTCCCTCTCACTTTCACTTTTCGCCTGCAGTTATATATGCCTGCCCAGTAGGCCTTTAGACATCGCCTTCTCTTCCCTCGGCCGACTGCTGGATGATGATAATCTCTTCATTGGTGTTTGTTTTTTTTTTTTATTTGCTGTTTTTAATAGCGTGCGACTCCTTGGAGATGTTGTGGTCTTCGTTAGGGGGACCATCGCCGCATGAAGGTCAGGTTGCGTAGATTCGCCGGGAGCAGAAATGAGCGTCTGGGCTAGGGAGGGGCCCCTGACTTCTTTGTTATGGTCCTAGTGGGATCTGAGCCCTGTGAACAGGATATGAAACAGAGAAGTAAGCCTGCAGTAACAAAGCACCGTGGCTTCTGCTTTGGCAACCCTAGACTTGCAGTTCCCGGTTGTGCCTGTAGGAGGCAGCGGTCTAGCAACACACCATGGCATTGAATTAAAGCCACCCTCTGTGATTCAGCACGCCAAGTGGACTGTAACATGGCCTTTAGGTTGCTGTGCATTTCAAACTAAATTGACGAATTAAGCATCGTTTTGCCATTATATGACCTTGTTTTAATCCCGCCCACTGTCCATGCTTGGCTGATGCCGTGGGATTGATCAGCAAGACTAATTATGTAGTTTGCAGCACGCTTTAAAAGAGCTGTCATCTCCTTTATTAAAATGCACTTGTTTATTTGTGCTCTGTATATCGGTCTGCTGCATCGCAAACATTCTGCAGCCTCTAGGGTTGTGGGGTGGCGACAGATTGTTCTCGCCAACGTGTTCAGTTTAATTTCATTTGAAGTATACGGGCACCTTTAGGACACCTTTTTGTTTTCCGTTTGTTTGCAGTTCTGACTACCCTGCGATGTGAAGGTTCCCTCCCCAGTTCCGCACACTTGGTTCACAGTGCCCTTCTGAGCATGTTAAATAGCCCAGCGGGAGTGATCTCCTGTCCACTGCCAAGTATTCCTGCATGTCAGCGCATATTCGGGTAGCGTGGTGTTTCCCAGCCTGGTCTTTGGGAGCCTGCAGACCGTCCACGCTTTTGCTCCCTCCCTGCTCCCTGCACACCTGTACCAGATATTCAGGTATCTTGATTGGCTGGGAGCTGGGAGGGAGCCAAAACATGGACCGGATTTTGAAATGGGGGTGGGGTGTCTGTGGCCAGGGCTCACTGGCCCATGGTGATGGATGTGGCAGCTCTGAGGTGCAGGAACTGGGAGACGAATGCACTGCATTTTCTGAGGCGAGTCCTCGTAAGCCAGGTGATGGGTGTGTTCGTTAGAGCAGCATTTCCCAATCCATGTTTTAGCTCCCTCCCAGCTCCCTAGTCCTAAGACCTGTACGAGATATTCGGGCATCTTGATTGGCTGGGAGCTGACAGGGAGCAAAAATATGGACCGTCTGGGGTTCCCGAGGACTGGGCTGAGAAAGGTTGCTTCAGAGGCCCTTTGGCAGACGCCCGGATAACGCAAGGTTACGCTTGCCTGCCAGAAGCAGCTCATGTGGCTCAAGTGATGTCATATCGGAAATCTTCCTGCTTCCATTGTAGGCTGAGTGGCGGGCCGGAATGCCGGCCAGCCGGTTTGTGTCACCGAAATTCCCAGCGCTGCAGGGCGAGGACGCTTCCTTGCGTATTTTGCTCTTCTCTCGTTAGACCTGCCTGCGGCTGCTCAGGGTGCGAGCTGGCTTTGCGGCTTTCATCCGAGGCCAGAAGGTTCTCTACAAATAGCCAGCTAAGCATCACTGGTCCACAATGCCAAAGTGTTTGTGGGGAGAGAGGAGTATATCTGTATAGACCCCCTCCCCCAATTATTAAAAGCTGTCATAATTTTTTTCTTTTCTGATCTTTCGCAGTTCTTCTCTTTCTTTTCCCTTCCCTTTCCCCCAAGTCCAGCTCAGTTCCTGCATGGAGGTCCCCTATCACCGCTGTGAGCAGCAGCCCAGACTCCCTCACTGCTGACGGGTCCTACCAGAGGGCAGAGAACAGCGCCCCCTTTCAGCCACGTCATGGAGCAGCCTAGCTGTCCCAGCGTCAGCATCCCCTGTCACGACGAGCACAGGGACAAGAAGAAACGCTACACTGTGAGGGCCAGACATAGCAGGGCGTGTGGGAGGAGGGGGCGGGGCTCTTATGACTCCGCCCACCCCTTTGGAAATGGTGGACAGATGAACAAGTGCTGCGTATCTCTATACTGACAGCTCACTTGCTGTGACGGTTCAAATACTCGGTAGCTGCTTCTTCACCTGTGACTGAAAATAATGAAAATATATATTTAAAAAGCTCCTTTTCTTTCTCCAGGTTTACAAAGTGCTGGTCAGTGTTGGGAGGGACGAATGGTTTGTCTTCAGGAGATACGCAGAGTTTGACAAACTGTATAACACAGTAAGTGGAGTTTAGGACTCGCCTCCTCAGGCCGGGCCTGACAGTGTGAACCGTGTGACGTTACCGTCAGGTGTTGTGTGAAGTTTGTTTACTACACAAATTAAATATAAATGAAGATGATTTCTTCTTGATTTCTTGTTTTCTTTCTTTTAGGTAAGGAAACAGTTTCCATCCATGAACTTAAAGATCCCAGCTAAGAGGATATTCGGAGACAATTTTGACCCGGGTAAGTCCTGGCACCTCTCAGATCAGAGACTGGGGGGGGGCAGACACCTGGAGATTTTTTGCTTCCCTGCTAACTGGCTTCTCCTGGCTGGAATCTGTTGCTCCGTGACCCCGGTGCATGTGGTCTGTAGCGACCCTGTAGACGCCAGCATCTGACCGCTTTCTCACATCTGAAATGGAGAACTGTCTGGCGAAAGCAAGGCATGAGCTCATGTGACTGCGCTTAATAGGCACAGATATACTACAGGGAGAGTCTTTGCTCATTCGCACCCTTATTCTTAGAGCTGATGTCACTGCAGCCTGTTTACAGGTGACTGTGTGGCTCAGATGGGTGACAGACTCTGTGCTTAATGTCGGCACAGCAGATGCTGTGGGAAGGTACCACTCATGAGAAACTGATGGAGATGAAGGGTAGTGCTCTTAGTGAAAGGCTGATTGTTTACACTGTACCCCTTATACTCAGTAATATATATTTAAATTCCTTGCCACCCAACTGTCACCTTTCTGAAATTTCTAATCTTAATTTTAAAGCATTATCAAAGACTGTTTGAACTTTTGAGGTTAAAATATCTTGTTTAACTGTGTTTTTTTTCTAACTTCTAGAATTTTTAAAGCAAAGGAAAACTGGGCTTAACGAATTCATCCAGAAGATCGTCTCGCACCCCCAGCTCAGCAGCTGGTGAGGCCCTTTCCGCCGCGTCACTCGCCGTTCCAGCTCTGGATACCCGAGTTTGCCCCAGTCCCTGATCGCTCAGGCCCTGCTAACTGGCTTCTTGCTGGCTTCTCCTGGCTGGAATCTGTTGCTCCGTGACCCCGGTGCATGTGGCGTGTAGCGACCCTGTACACCCCAGCATCTGACCACTTTCTCACATCTTGCTCGCAGTCCTGAAGTGCGTAGCTTCCTGCTGATGGACAGGCTGAAACGCTGGTCGGATGCCTCTGAGGATGAGGAGGAGAAGGTGGGTGTGGCTGTGCTGGGGACACGTCTACTGTGTGTGTGTGTGTGTGTGTGTGTGTGTGTGTGTGTGTTATTATTATTGTTTATTATTATTATTATTATTATTTGCTTTGTTGAGACCAGATTTCCAGTTTTCCCCATAATGTGAAAAAGCCTATAACCAAGTGGAAACTCACTGTGACTGCAATCAAAAAACTAAAAATGACAAAAGTCTTGTATTTTATTTGGTCACTTATGTTTAAGGTTAAGGCTGGGTAGGGGTTAAGGTTGTTGGGTTAGGGTTATGCCCATAGAAGTGAAAGGACAGTTCACACAAAAATATACAGTGCTCACAAAAGTCATGGTATACCTGCTTAATTAAGTTAAAAATATTGCAGACTTATTGATTTTATAACAAAAATCATTAATTTGTTCATTCGTTTACCAAAAAAAATATGTATTACATTATAAACAACCAGTAGTTTTAAGTAAAACATTATTTTTAAGTAGCAATAAATTGAAACCAAAATTATAGTTGTAAAGGATCTGTTCTGAGTTAAAAAATTAATTGACAAGCAGTCTCATTGGATGCTTTTTAATCAGTAACACCTTTGCAATACAGTTTTTCTTGATTGCTTTGGCACATTTCATGAAACATATTTATTAACATTCTCAAGAATGTAAAAGCATTTCTCAAAACACTTCATGCGTGTAGCATAACGCTGCAATAGCCTGCAACTTGCCCAAAACAATTAACTCATGTCTCAAAAGCAAATAATTCCACCAGTGAATTAGTCAGTACCACCAAAATGAAAAGTACAATCAGCACCGTTTTGACCTCAAGAGTCAAAATACTTAGATATATTGTCAGTGAAGTCTGCTGCAGAATTCTGCATGATAGTCGGGTACCACTTTCTCATTGTCACTGACTGGCACTTTCTCATTGTCACTTTCTTTAGCAAACTGATAGTTATTTGTGTCAGAGACACTAGTTTCAACACTGCAAGGCTCTACATTACATTATGCAAAGTTCATGCAAGAGAAAGCACATGCATGCACGAGTAACTTCAGATCTCGAGACACAGTACAACAGCAAACAGGAAAGTCACACAGCACTGTGTAACACAAAAACAGCAAAATTGCAATACAAGTTTGAGAAATGCTGTAAAGTAATCGAGGAAAACTGTAACATAGAACACCAAACATTTGTGTTCAGTATTCCTTTCGACGCAAATGAGTACAATTGCAATTAGTAGCAAAATGGCAAGAACAGAACTGAATCAGTCAAAAAATAATGAAACGTAAAAAGAAGACATGCATGGAAGATATGAAGAGAGATGTTTAACGTTGCTTGTCAATGGACTTTTATTTTGGAGCAATAAATTTGCAACATTTCTACAGAATTAAGCAAGTACCCCAAGACTTTCTGTGAGCAATGTAGATACCGTGCGTGCGTGCGTGCGTGTCTGCATGCACACATGCGCACTTGCCCACCCTGTGATGGACTGGCTTCCCTTCCCAGTGTCCCCTGATCTTTCTGGGATGGGCTACAGGTTCATTGTCCCCCTGTCACTGATGAATGTTGACTTGGACCGACTTGGTTATGTTTGCTACTTCTCAGAATAGTCCTACCTCCAGAAACATCAACCTGGGCCCTTCCGGAAACCCGCAGTGAGTCTGTCCCCTCATTTATTTTCTTGGTTTTCTTGGTGTGAAGTGGGTTTTGTTGCATACTTTTGTTTATTTTTGGTCCTTTATATTTGAACAACTGTCTCTTTTAGTTGATGGTATCCTTTCATTTCAGATGTACAGTTTACCCACAGAAATCTGTCCCTTTTCATTTCGGCCAGTTTTTTTTTGTTTTTAATGTACTAAATTTTTCTTAAGTCTACAGTGTACCTCGCCACTATAAGCGTGTACATGCTGTGTACAGCATGGCCTATGACCATAACGTGTCACTTACAGGCAATCACAGCAAAGCTATTAGTGCAGAAACTAACCCACGTTGTTGAGATTGTTAGGGTCTTTGACAAGCCTATGAAAGGGGCCTTGTGGTATCTGTGGAATCCAAAATTTCAGTTTTATAGTAAACCCAAGGAGGACTGTGTGTACTTTCATAAGGAAATGGTTCCTGGCGACATCACTTCCTCTTGCTGCTAAAGGTTATCTGTGAAACTGCCGCCCTTTGCGTCAGACTGCCGGCAGAATTACCGCAAAAAAAATCTAAACAGCCTCCTGTTACCGTTTTGCTATCTGAGTATTTCACAGCCTGCAGCCCATATTTCTGCACAGTGACTCCTTGTTCAGGATTGTCACTCAGAAGATGAAGAATGTCACCCTGTTTCTCCCACTCTGCAGTGCCAAGCCCACAGACTTCGACTTCCTTAAAGTCATCGGGAAGGGGAGTTTCGGCAAGGTATGTGTCCATCCCGGGAAACCCGATGAGGGTAAACATCCCTCCTGGCGGTTACTGTCCAGCAGTGGTGACCTTAAGAGGAAGTGTGACAGAGCTGGTGGGAGATCATCAGCCTGGGGGGTTGGGTGGGTGTGTTGTGTTTTTGGACGATTGCCCAACACGTGTTCATTTTCCCTTAAAGGTTTTTCTTGCCAAACACAGACTGGACGGGAAATATTATGCAATCAAAGTTTTACAGAAAAGGCTGATTGTGCATCGGAGGGAGGTAACAGCCTGACCTGCTTCCAGCAAACTTGTCCCTTTTACTGCTTGATCTCTGATCTAAGCGATTCACCTGCGTGTGGCTGTAGCATTATGGAAGCTCAGTTCCCTCCCGCTAAGCACGGGTGTAGATGATGCCTGCCCCCCCCCCTCCACTCCCCCCCCTCCCCCCCTCGGCATCCCTGCCTGCGCTCTGCTGTTACCGTTTAATCGTCCGCCACGTGTCACTGTGCTTGTTTTCTTGCAGCAAAAGCACATCATGGCCGAGCGTAGCGTCCTCCTGAAGAGCGTCAAGCACCCTTTCCTCGTGGGCCTGCATTACTCTTTACAGACTGCAGACAAGCTCTACTTTGTCCTGGATTTCATCAACGGTGGGGAAGTGAGTGCAGGGGACCCAGTAGCAGGGAAACCCAGAGTCACGCAATGTGCGATGTCGCTGCCACTGGCAGCTGCGCCTCGTTCCTGCAGAACTCTGGAAGCTTCTCTCCCCCTCTGCCCAGCCAGTTCCTTCCACGCACCTTCACTTCAGTGGCAGTTCCAGACTATTTCAACTGGAGGGGCCAGACTGGGGCCAGTTGTTCTGTTAGAGGGGGCAGATACATTTGACCTTTATGCCCTCCAAGTATTACTTACACTAGATTGCAAGGATTAAGAAGTAAAAGTCAGTTTTGAAAATCGATGTTGTTTATGCAGTGCTTTGCAGTTACATGTTTGTAAAAACTGTCAAATGTAACTCACTCTGATTTCTTGTTTAGATTCTCTTGCTTCCACGAGCTTGATTATTTTTTTCACTCATTATCTTTTCTGTTCAACTGAAGGGACTCAACCTCCCAGTGCACAAAATTTTAGCCCACATATGTAAATGTAAATAATAATAGTAATGCATTTATTTCAGAACCAAGTAGCATACGTATTCAGGGGGGTATGTTGTCACAGTGGCACTGCCCCCCCCAGAACCCCCCCCTGCCGGCGCCAGTCAGTTCTCGTTTCAGTTAACTGCATTTTCTCGAAGTCTCCCCCCCCCCCCCCCCCCCCCCCCCCCCCGCTTCTCCTCGTCACTATTCCCCACCGGTTGTTTGTTTTTCCTTCCAGCTGTTCTTTCACCTGCAGAGAGAGCGGACCTTTCCAGAACCTAGAGCCCGGTTCTATGTAGCAGAAATTGCTAGCGCTCTAGGCTACCTCCATTCCTTAAACATCATTTACAGGTAAGTGGCTTTTTCCCTGAGCATATGACCCCCGCAGCCGCAGCCGTGATTTTCCTGCATAATCTATTGTTGCTGTACAGTCTAACGCTAGACTTTGTACTGCTAATAGTGGTTTCTTAGACGTCCTCCTATCTTTACTCCTGATGTTTGGGCCATTGCAAGGCATGCTGGGAAATGTGGTTTCTGTGATGTCACAGGGCTTTGTCTTGTCCTGCGTCTCTGCTCTCTGCTGATGTGTAGATTTATACCCTTCATCCTCTGTGTTCCTTACGGTCCCCACAGACTGACCGTTGTCGTGCTGGAAACCGCAACTTGTGAATAATGACAGTCTGCTCTTAACAGGGATCTGAAACCAGAAAACATCCTGTTGGACTTTCAGGTGAGTCCTCGTGGCACCGTGTGGGGGCGAGAGAGTGCCACTGCACCGTAGCCACGAAAGGTCGTGGCGGGTGGACTGGCGGGTTTTGGGGGGGAGGGCGGTGACCTAAAAAACCCTGTCTGTTTCCCAAAGGGCCACGTTGTCCTGACGGACTTTGGATTATGCAAAGAAGGCATGAGCCTGGCTGACACCACGAACACCTTCTGTGGGACGCCGGAGGTAAGCGGCCTGGGAGGTGGAGGGATGGCCTCCTGAGAGGAGGGGCTGTCTCGAGCTCAGGTGCGAGCCAGTGTTCCTCAGCCCATCCTCAGGGACCCCCGGACTGTCTGCCTGAACCAGCCAATCAAGAACACCCAATATCTGGTACAGGTGCACTGGGAGCTGGGAGGGGGCAAAAATGCGGACACTTTGGGGTTCCCAAGGACTGGGTTGAGAAAGGTGTTTATTTTTGTTGATAATCAGGGTTAGGGTCAGGGTTGGGGCTGTAGTGTGGAGTGTGGCCCCCGGGCCAGTCCGTTTAGTGTCAGTTGCTCACACCAGACTCCTCTCCTGCCCCCTCCCCCCAGTATTTGGCCCCTGAGGTTTTACGAAAGCAGCCCTATGATAACACAGTGGATTGGTGGTGTCTGGGCTCGGTCCTCTACGAGATGCTCTTTGGCCTGGTAGGTTGCAGTTCTCCACAGCACCCCCCCACACCGCCCAGAGGAGCTTCTGACACTGAGCTGACCCCCCCCCCCCCCCTGCCCCCCGTCCACCCCCCCCCCCCCCCCCTCCCCCCCCCCCCCCCCCCCCCTCCCCCCCCCCCCCCCCCCCCCTCCCGTCCGCCGTGGTTC